GTCGGTAAAGGGGGACCGGCGACCGAAAGCATGGAGTTCGGTGCTGAACACGTCCACCAGACTGAGCAGGGCGCGGTCCTCAAGCGCGGCCTCACCGTCGATGCTGAAACAGTCAAGATATTCCAGCAAGACGCCGAGAGTGAACACGAAAAGACGGACGTTTCGCCGGCCAAGGCTCGAGTCCGGCGGTATGGCTGCGGCTACATACAAAAGAATACGAGCTGCCGATTAGTTCCTGTTTTAAGGTGCAGCGTGGAACGTAAAGGACTCTAATAGTCAACAAGTTGTGTGGAAGGATGTTGCTAACAAAGGAAAAGTATCTAAGCAAGCCCCCTGAAAAGTAATCCTAACAACAGAAAACAACGGCGGAGGGTTTTTGCACAGAACTAGAATACTCCGCTGGAAACGAAATTGCTTACATCAACCATAGCTTCGTAAAATCAGTTACTTTTACTATCCAGTCCCTAAGGAAGAATTTGTAAGTTTGTCCCTTTTTAGGCGGCCGGCTTTGAAGTAAACTTTTTTTGACCGCCTTTAAGTGCCGAACTGTGGAAGAATGACTATCTCGTGGATTGATGTCTTTATAAGTTCAAATATCTTTTATCGTAGAAGACGCATGAATATATATATATTTTTTTTCTTGTACAGAGTTGGAGACAAATTACCTCGTCTTTGAGACGTACATCTGAAGAAAAGGTATACTTCAGTCTTTGAAAAGTTTATAATTGTGACGATGTCTACGGAGCATGGAATGCCTACGCATAAAGCATCGTATGTATCCATTTATTAATGGTGATTATGAAGCATTCATGCCTTTTTTCCATTGCAAACTTTTGAGCACTATATGGCGTCTTTTTAATAACATAGACATAGATGTAACTTTCTTAACGCGGAGAGTATGCAGTACGCAGTTTTAAAACCCCGAATTCATGTATAACAGCAACTCGGGTTCAAAACTGTTTGGAAAAAAAGCTTTTAAATCAAATGAAATCCTTTCATGGAGTATGAAATGTTCAGAGGACATACTTTGTTGCCAAATGAATAAAAGAAATAATATATAGCAGCATTAAGTCTTGTAAATACTTAACTAGTTGATTTCCCATGTCACTATAAAGGCCTGATGATGAGTGGCAGAAAATAGTTGTTTGCCAAAACTTCCTTTAAAAAAATAATAGGTTTACGCCAGCCTTTTACATGTGAAATTATAAGGGCGTCGAAAATAAATGGGGAAAACTCATGCTACTTAAGTAGTCATTTTTACGTGGGCGATTTTCACAGGTTGCCAGAAAGCCGGCGTCTTGATGTAACTCAAAAAATATTTTACGATTAACAATGTTACACTCATACATCAGTATTTTTTTCGGATTGTAAACACACACTTAGAATCTCAGTTAACAGTTTCAGGAGACGGTAGTCAAAGCCACTTCGGTTAAAGGCTTTCGAGGGGGTTGCCATTCGAGTTGTTCTAAGGAGACGTGTCGTCCTTAATTCACGGGAAGATAGCTTTTAAAGGATTGGCTGCTAAACTTGAGATGAAGTAGCAGGCACGCGCCCAGAACTGCCGAAACATGAGAGGAGAATTCGGGAAACATGATTCGACTGATGAAACCTGCAGGGCCAAAATCTTTTCCAAGTACGCGAATATGCAATGCGTAAAAGGGGCATTTTGATATGAGGTAAACTTCCCGTACCAGCTTCTGGTATCGCATCCTTTTCTGAAAAGGCCGATCCGTCGAATCCGTTCATGGAAATTTCCAGGAGACCTTGAAGAAGAGCGGCAACAGCAGTCTCCTCCTCGGAAGTCCTGTTGTCTTGTAATGGCAGAGCCCGAATGAAGCGCTTAACCGTCAATCTACCTTTGTCACTAGACTGGAAAGGAAAGTACGCGCAAAAGACCGAATTAGACGGATACTGAAGCGCTTCAAATGACAGGACAAAAAGTCAATTAACATAAAGGGTAAGGCAGATGAAAGCTGCGGAATTGTGTTGAGGCATAATGCCGATTTGGCTTGACCGCAAAATCCCTTTTAAAGAGTCTGTGGCGGTTCTGCAGCCTACCTCCTCCAAACGCGAGACGCCACAGACGTGGTCTCGGGGGGACAATCTTGGCCGCCCAGTCACTCGACCCAGCG